GAAATTTATAAGTGGTTTATGCTTAAATCTATATTATATATATATTGCTTTACCTGGAACAACGGGAAAACGATTTCCTCCAAGTGGTTGACTTAGCCGAACAGTGCCATGAGGTGATGGAGTTTTATTAGCAATTGCTAATGATGCTACCCTCTCTGCCGCAATGCGATCCCTTGAAGCAACTTCCACTAAATTTTGCCTTAATGTTCATGTTGTGCAATTGTGAGGCAATCCACGACCAATCACAGAGAAGCAATCACAGCACCTTTTTTCAATGCTTGAATTTTCTTTGGGTTTCGGTGGTTCCAAAGGATGACGCTGATTCATATTTGTCCTTGCAGTTTGACAAATCAAACAATTACAAGGAATATTTGTTGCAGCTGGCTGAACTGAGATGGTGCTGAAATCAAAGAGCTATGGGATAGGTGCATCCTCCCCTTCTTCTCGTCTGCGAATAGCCACACGACATCTTTCACAAATTCCACAAGGGATTTGAAAGTTTGAAAAATCAAGCTCAATTTTGAGGACTGTGCTAATTTTCTCCACTAAAAAACTTGTGATTTCTCGATTTGCCTTCTTCAAACATAGGAAACACACATTTTCGGTTTTCTTCATGAGTTTTAGCTTTGTTAGGCATTTTATCAAACTTTCAATGTGTCTTATTTGAAAAAAACTGAATGTGCACCCTTTTCCCGGAGTTAGCAAAATTGAAAAACAAACAAAAAATAATAATGATTTCAAAAAGCCTGCTCCAATTAGTTATATAATGTCTTAAATAGTACTCTAAGCAACATAACAACGAAAATGCTGTAAAAATGCCAAATTCCTATCATCTCATTTAAATTTTGATATGCCAGAATTAAAGAAAATAAAAACTAAAATATCTCTCTCGGACGTCATAGTTCGATTTCCAAATTTATATCTAAGTGATCTACTATATGTGGGCTATCATCCCACCAAAGGGTTTTCTCGGGACATGAGGTTAAGGTTGATGGCCATTTCGTGACACTGTATTACTTAAAGATTTGTCTGTATCATAAAAATTGCTTAGTTTTTTTCTCACAAGGTTTAAGTATGGTGTCATAATCACTTTAATTTTATGAACTTCAAAAAATTATTGCAATTAGGTGATATGAGTCATAACAGGAGTATGTTAATGCGCTAATATGGAAAATATGAAAATAATATGGTCATTAATAATAAAAATGGAAAATAATATGGTCATTAATACACTAATATGGAAAAGATGTTACATAGCTCTTATTGTTAACTTAGTAAAAGGTGTAATGATAAATGGTGTAATGCAGTTAGAGAACTCTAGTCAATATGACACCAGGTGCTAACTGTCATTTTTTGAATTACTGTGTAATTCATTTTTTGTGTTTCTTGTACACTGTTGTGTTTGAATTCATAGCGTGCAATATTATATAATTCCTTTCAATGTGCTTATATTTTATACTCAGTGAAAGATGAAATGATAAAAATGTAATGCAGTTAGACAATGTCTAGTCAAAATGACGATTGGTGCTAACTGTCATTTTATAAAATTACTGAGTAATTCATTTTTGGATTATTGTTGCATTTGAATTCATATCGTGCTTTCAATGTGCTTAATAATTTGTTTATTGACATGTTTATGCATATTAAGATGATGCAGTGTTTAGCAATAATGTGTTGTGTGCTTAAAGACTTAAATATTTTGCAAACATGTATAGGCATTACACACACACGCACTTGAATGTGTATGGTATATGATTGTATACTTTTACATAATTTCATATGCTCATAAACACATTTTCAATTTTTTTTACCTCTTCGGTGCTAAATGTGAAATTGTACTATTTTGGTTAGTTTGTGTTGATGTATAGCCTATTTGATGAAGAATTATTTCAATCACACATAGGCTATTATATTATGTGAATGTTTTAGAATAAAGACTTGTATATTTGTATTTTTGCAGATATTGTTTTGACTATAGCACTCAAGAGCGAAAAATTCTGTTTTGTATTGCAAAATGACGTTTGCTTTGTATTCAATTTTACATGTAGACCAGTTAATCGCGCATTTACTTCAAATACATTTATTATGTAGTTATAATACAGAGTAGAAGAAAAACACCAAAAATGTGTAATAATTAACACATAAATGTGTAACAAATAACAAAAAAAATGTGCTACTATGCACACAAATAATGTGTGAAAACTACACATTTTTTGAACTAAAGTTCACACTATAATGTGTAGTTTGTATACACAAAAATTTGTGCAAGCTACACAATCAATGTGTATACTTTTCACACCATTTTGTGTAGAAATATATAACTACACATTTATTGTGTACCTCATAACACAAATTTGTGTTGTCACCATTTTAACACAATTAATGTGTACAAAACTACACAATTTGCGTAGCATTTCTACACAATTTTTTTTCAAGTGTATATATATATATATATATATATATATATATATATATATATATATATATATATATATATATATATACAAGATATATTATATATATATATTATATATATATATATATTATATATATATATATATAATATATAATATATAATATATAATATATATATATATATATATATATATATATATATATATACATATATATATATATATATATATATATATATATATATATATATATATATATATATATATATATATATATATATATATATATATTTGAGTAATTTTAAATGTATTCTACAAAATAGAGTGTTCTTAAAAGAACAGAACAACTAACAACTAAATACATATCAAATAATTCTTTTTTTAGGCTTCACATGATTTATACTGAGTGTAGGCTATAAAGTTGATAAAAAGATATAATTTGACATGCCCTGTTTTGCCTATGGATGCAAGAGATTGTGCTGATGGAATTACTTTTCATAGATACATTAAGCTACACCAAACAAGAAATTTCACAAAGCAATGATATATATCATTAAAATATATTCTATAAAATATTGACTAATAAAATAACCAAATCACCATATATGGTATTACTATAGTAATTTTTTTGTTTTATTAGTCAATATTTTTTATAGAATTCTGCCAAAAATCAAATATCAAGATTTGACAAAAGTTGGTAACTACTTTATCTAGAGAAAACTTTACTGGTCCTCATAAATAAGCGGTTGTGTTCAAAGAAGAAGAAGAAGTACTAAATCAGCTTTGAATAGAGAAGCTGATATGGATAGAACTAGGCCCTCATATGTTAGAATTCGTATGGTGCCATACCAGGCACTTTTGAAGCACCATAGTAATAGCATACTTAGTTTCTTTCTAATTTTATTACCAACTTTTGATATATTTGTCTTACTCTAATTTAGCCAAGATCATATAGAGCTGTTATTTTCGACAGCTGCACAAAAAGATAGATCAAAAAGATAACAGATAATATTAATTTCAGTCTAACTTTTTTCATTAATCAAATGATATATATATATTTATATATATATATATATATATATATATATATATATATATATTATATATATATATATATATATATATATATACACACATACATATATATATATATATATATATATATATATATATATATATATATATATATATATATATATATATATATATATACATATATATATATATATATATATATATATATATATATATATATATATATATATATATATGTATATATATATATATATATATATATATTTATATATGTGTGTATATAGAGATCGAAAGATAAATATATATTTATATTTATCTTTCAATCTCTATATACATATATGTATATTTAATATATTTGTTTTTATGTTTACATTTAATTTTGTTAACATTTAATAAAAAAATACAAACATTTTTTTTATTCCATAAGATGTTCACACTGTTTAAAATATGGCATCTTCTAAAAGCGTGTTTAAGATCTGAATGTCTACTTAATTATTCCAATATTTTGGAATAAACTGAACCCGATAATCAGTTAGCAAACAATTCTTTATAGTATATTACAACCTCGGAAACAACTGGCAAATTATTCTATCATTTATATCAACATTTTAACTTAATTTCAACAAAGTTTTTTTCAAAGTTTTTTGAAAATATAAAGTTTCGCACAAAAAATAACAATGTTTTGGGTTAACCAAGATGGTGACTGACTTTCAAATTTAGCTTCATCGCATTTTATATAAAGTATACTACAGTGTCTCCTGTTTATTAAACCTCCTTATTTCCTAACCTTAACCTAATGTTACTGAAACATGAAAAGAGAAAGAAAAAATAACAGTTAACCTCAACACAACGTGATTTTTATCATGACTCTGACATGAACAAGAAAAAACAAGTGTTAACTCAACAAAACATCATAGTTACACAGTTATATTCCTGAGAAAAAGGTCACCTTGTTAGGCTTAGGCCACTATGTTAGGATATTTGATCATAGCATTTTTATAATTTTCAATTTTTTCCTCCCTTTTACTCACGCATATTCTTTTGTTATTTTATATCATTTAGGTTATGAGTTTTTATTAAAAAGATTAAATCAGTTTTCAGCTTAGTAAATCGGAATTGATATATTTTTGCCACAAATATGCATATTTTGCAATTATGCATATTTTGCAAAAAAAATCATTTAACCAAACTACATGCTTTGGTAATTAAATAATTAACTTATTCCAAAACAACTTTGCTTTGAGTATTTGTTGATAAAAAGAAAAATGCTGAAATAAAACGATGAAAACGATGAAATAGATTTAAGGAAAACTTAATAGACTTCAATAATTAAACAAAAATCAAAGTTTTTACATTTAAAATCCAATTTTAATTGTGTGGTGATTTTAGAATCAATATTTATTACGTTTTTTTAAAAAAAAAAAACTAAACATAATCCCAAGTATGAATCATAATATTTAGAATAATCTCTGTAGATAATAACAATTTCTTTACAATATTGTCATTGTAATAAAAAAATACTAATAAGCAATAGAAGTAATACAGCAATACCTTGATTTGAATCTCTCCTAGCAACATCTTTATTCTGTTTTTCTAAATAGCTGACTGAACGTGGACGACCCTCTGAATCTTGAAATAATGGAAAAGATGTCTTTCCTTCTGCGATTAACTCATTTATGTAATACATGATAATTTCTTTTCCCTAAAAAAATTTTCAATTTTATTATCATTATAGTCTTAATCAAATGTTATTTATTTAAATGTTATTTAGTTATTATTTGAAAGTTAAAAGACACAAGAATGATTAGCAAAGTTTATTTAAATAAAGAACTAAGTTGACAGACACTAGAATGAGTAGCAAAGTTTATTTAAATAAAGAACTAAGTTGAAAGACACAAGAATGATTAGCAAAGTTTATTTAAATGAAGAAACAAGAATGATTAGTGGAAGTTATTTTTTTTCAAATAAGAATTGTGTATTTTATTCTTAAGCTAAAACAAATACACGCTCCTTTTAAAAATCTTAAAAAGAAGCTACTAACTTTAAAAGTTTTATCAAGTCAAAATAAATATACAAGACTACAAAAAAATAAATATACAAGACTACAAAAAAATAAAAATAAACACAATCCATACAAGACTCCAAAAAAATGTACAAAGAAATAAGGAAGTTTTCTCATTAAAAAACATATTTTTAGTGCTGATGTAGAAAATTTTTAATTCTTTTTTTAAATTCTTTTCTTAACTTTTTTATTCTTTTTTTTTTTTTTAATTCTTTTCTTTTTATTTATTGTCAAAAAGTAAGTCTCTTATTGGTATAGTCTAGAAAATATGCTTTGTTTTCAGTTGAAAAAGTATTAAAAATGTCATTAATAGGAATTAAGTTATTATTTGACAATATGATAAATGTAGGAAGCCTTAGTCACATGGTTGGCTTGAATTTCATTGAAATTGTTAAATAAAACAAATTGAAAATAATTACGCATCAATTCACCTACTTTTGTTGAGAAATCATGTTTGAATCCTCTGACCATTCTTTTATGGGATCCCCTTAGCATCTCTTCAATCAATCACCTTATTAATGGTTCCCTTAGCATCTCTTCAATCAATCACCTTATTAATGGTTCACTTAGCATCTCTTCAATCAATCACCTTATTAATGGTTCACTTAGCATCTTTTCAATCAATCACCTTATTAATGGTTCACTTAGCATCTCTTTAATCAATCACCTTATTAATGGTTCACTTAGCATCTCTTCAATCAATCACCTTATTAATGGTTCACTTAGCATCTCTTCAATCAATCACCTTATTAATGGTTCACTTAGCATCTCTTCAATCAATCACCTTATTAATGGTTCACTTAGCATCTCTTCAATCAATCACCTTATTAATGGTTCACTTAGCATCTCTTCAATCAATCACCTTATTAATGGTTCACTTAGCATCTCTTCAATCAATCACCTTATTAATGGTTCACTTAGCATCTCTTCTATTCATCTCATTTATTACAAACAACTATCACAATATTGCCAACATTCCTATATTAATGAAAGGCAACCCTCTCACCTCATCCCCAACTTAATAGGGGTTGCTTGTTAGGAGTGAATTAGTTTTAAGTAAAAAATTTACCTTAACCTGCCATATCATTTTCCATGTTTCAAGTAGGCATTTTAATGTTCCAGAAAACACATAGTAAATAGTTTTGCATGGCAAAACATCTAATGGATAAAAGTCAGGGAATTAGAAAACTAGTACATAGTAAATAGTTTTGCATGGCAAAACATCTAATGGATAAAAGTCAGGGAATTAGAATGGTAACACAATGCACAACAAAAGATTGTTGGATGGCTGTTAAGTGGAAAATTTTTTCTATTTTGGACTAAAAAAGTAAAAACAAAAATTTTTTGCTTTTATTCACTTCAATGCTTATATATATATATATATATATATATATATATATATATATATATATATATATATATATATATATATATATATATATATATATATATATATATATATATCTGTTATAACTTAAGTGTTAATATTTTATCAATTTAAAGAACTTTCAATTCTAATTAGCCTTTTTTTTTCCAAAGCCCCACTGTTTTCTTTAAAACTTAACTATTGTGCCACCTTTACTGCTCACAGATAGAGGGTTTATGTTAAAGGTACTTGGGATTTTTTTCATGTTTTTTTGTTTTTTTTATTGGTAACTAATTATGTACCGAAACTTTGTTGTCTTTGGCACTACAAATAATAAATTTCAAAATATATTGAGAATACATTCATTTTTTAGAATTATATATGTTATATATACTTACATATATGTAAAAATATATATTTAAAATTTAAAATGTGCATGTAAAGTATTTCATGTATTTTTACAGGAAAAAATTAAATTTGAAAAAAAGTAAATTAACCGGAAAAGAAATCATCAGGAGTGCAAAGTTATAATCTGTTTTGGATGTAGCAACAAAATGTATACTCTAACAAAACCCAGCTCAAATTGCTTTAAAAAATCTAGTAAGGAAGCATTTAGATAAAGGTTTTGATGTTAAAGTGAACTCCTTTCCTATTGGAATGTGCCTCAAGTGCAAGACTGCATTATATAAGAAAGAGCTACTTATCTTTTTTTGTCTTTTTTTGTCATTTTAAATCTGTCACTTTTTGTAAAAATAGTTTTAGTTTCTTAAATGCAAGATATATAAAAATTTTTTACAAAAAGGAAAAAATGTTAAAAGTGCAGAAATCTCCTGGCAAAGAGGAAGAGTTACTAATTCAACGCTTGGCAGAATACAAATGTCTAAATTATATCAATGTCCAATCTGTAGTCTGGCAAGGGACACTAGAAGTATCATAAAGATGAACTTAAGGGAGTTCATCTTACCCCAGGAAAAATCCAAATTAATCCAAATTCAAGTTTTTATACTAATACCTCAATGTGTTTTCAATATATAGGAAGAGGTAATAGACATCCCTGCAATAGAAAATCAACTGCTAAAAACTTAGAAAAAATTATTATGTCAAAAGATCTTAAATTATCTGAACAGGTAACGTCAAAAATTCTAAAAACAATTATTGGGGATGAAAAACAGAGTAAGGCTCAACTATCAACATGTGGAACATCATTACATGTATACCTTGGAGAGAGTATCTCTCTAAAAAAGATTAGCTTAGACACAGTATTTAATATCAAAAAAATAAATGATCTGCCTGAATGTGTTATTAAACGTATGTTGACTGAAATAAGAAAAGATGTTGGTTGAAAAGATGTTGGTTGAAAACAATGTGGAGATTGAATAGAAAGTCCCATTCACTAAATCAGTTTTATTGCGTTCAGCAGTTGATATTTCAGCAAGGTGTTAACCATACAGAGGTTCAAAAAGATGTAGTATATGTGGAAGATATACCTATGATGTTGATGAAATAATAACGTAATAACATAAAAGAAGAGAAAAATTAATTAGTAAGAAAGCGTTATAAAATTTTAAAATATTATTTTATTCAATTTTTTCGACACCTAATTTATCATGTACTCCAAATTTCTTTCTTATTAAAGATATTTCTTTGTGTTTGATAGTTCAGTTTTATATATTTTTTATATATTTACAAACAAGAGGTATTGTTCTCCAAAAATTAATTATGAGGATTGGTATCAACGGCAACCAAGGATCAATTAAAGTTTTTATGAGCCTTTCTTAATCAGAAAAACTTGAGGATCAATTAAGGAACCAAAAGGACTCGGGTGTAAACAAAGTTATTTTATTGGCAATTGTCCGACATGTTGAAGAAAGCAGCAACCATTAGCCCAAATTGTCCACCTTCTCAAACTGCATGAATGGAATTACTTCTTTGTATCAGATCTTAGGCTTATCAATATCATGCTAGGATTATCTGCCCATGGTGGGAAGTATGCATGTGCTTATTGTATTGGTGCAAAGGAAAAAATAGGAGAATTTAGAACCTTTGGTAGTTTATGCAATCAGTATCAGCGATTTGTTGATGCAGGGAAACCACACAAGTTGATGCAGAACTTTTTTAATGTCATCAACCCATGTCTTTTTGATGATAGCCTGGACAGACTGGTCTTGAATATTATACCTCCACAAGAGCTGCATCTCTATGAGCATATTATCACACAGGTGTCAAGAGTACTTTTTTCCGTCTCAGATAGTTAGACCTACAAAAATCTCGACCTACTAAGTTGTTCCACACAAAAAACATCTACTAAAAAGTGGAACTAATTTTCAGATAACCTAATGAGGCCTAAATTGTTTTTAACTGATTATAGTCTCTTTTATTTTCAACTGATTTATGGCGTTTTTGTTTTCAACAGATTTATTTTTCAACCTATTTTATAGTTTCTTATTTTCAACTGATTTGAGATAAATTCATTTTTAACTGATTATCTGGTCTGAGTTTTTAACGTTGTTTTTTTAAAACTAAGAAGTTTTTTTTTAAAAATTAACAATCAATAAGTTTTCTAAGCATTCATTGAACCTTATACCTCCTAATTCTAAAGACAGCGCTTTAACCACTGCACCAAGGCTGATCAAATTTGGCTCGTATTTAAATCAACAACAAAATATACAAAATACAATACCCGAAAGGCGTAGTTATAAAATTGAAAATACACTAGGTTGAATATTCGATAGGTTGAAATTTCAGTAGGTCAAAAATACAGTAGATCAACAATTTAGTTGGTTGGAAAATTAGTAGTACATGTTTTAATTGAAAATAAAAAACGCCATAATCTATGATTCACGAAATTTTAAAAATAGGTCAAGTTATAGGCCACCCTATTTTCAAATAAGACCTTAACTGAATTTTTAAAAGAAAAAACTGTTACTCATCATGGCTACAATGGTGGAGAATTAGATGGACCTGACTGTCAAAAAGTTCTGAGGTCATTAAATGTGATAACAACTGTAGCACCACTGAAGTACCAGGAGTGTCTTAACACACTAAGAAAGTTTAAAGCAGGTAAATATTTATAAATAAAATATTATTAGCATACTTAAAGATTTTAATATGATGTATCATTTTATTTGTAGTGACTGAGAGTTGTTTTGGAATGTCATTAAATCTGTCTTATGGTTACAAAATTAGAGCTTTCATTGACTCTATGGACTATACAAACAATTATGTTGAAAAAAGGTTTAACATCGGTATATCAATTGGATGGAAGTACCATATC